CAGCTCTATTAGAACGCATAAATGGTGTCATAGCAGGTGTGCACAATGCATGATTATGTTCATGATAAGACTTACTTATAACCCACTGATCGTTTGTATTTGTTGTTGTACCTACGACTCTAGCCTTACATCCTGTTCTTGTGACTGGCGTATGAGCACGTTGACGATTAATAGTATTGACTTTTGATGCTCGAAACCCTTCTTTGGAACAACAAAATTCTTGTGTCTTCACATTCCCTTCCACGTCAAGCCGTGTTGTTCCCTTACGTGCACTAAACCCATGTTCCCGTGCGAATCCCTTGTAAAAGTACCAAGCTTGATCACGTGAACAGAAGAGCTGACCAACCAATCTGTCAGATTCATCAACATTATGTACTTCATGGCATTCCTCGGTTGGCTTAACATTGTCTGCATCAGTATGATCCATGGCAAAATTTTTGTTGTGCAAGTTCAGTGAGTTGATGGAGATGTAAGCAAAGGTTCATTGAACATGTTTCAGTCGTGTTGCTTTCAATAGGATGTGGTATTGGTAGTGGTAGTTAAAGGGTGGGTACAACATTAAATTCGCAGTACATATTTAGGTATGTACAATAACTACCTAAATATGTGTCGATACATTTTATACAAGTATCAACCCAAAAAACATCAAAACCAATAATTATAATGTAATAGGTAAATTAACAATGTAACCGGTATAAATATACCGGTTAATTAGAAAACAAGTCAACATAATGTATCGACACTTGAGTAATTTGTGTCGATACTTATTGTCCAGGATGAATGCACAAACAAGGTGCACGCATAAAGTGTCGACACTTGATAAATTTGTGTCGATATTTTTGGTCCAGAATGAATACCAAAAAGGGTGCAACCATAAAGTGTCGATACATTTATAAAAAGTATCGATCCCTGAAACATCGAAACCCATAAGTATAATGTAATAGGTAAATTTTCAATGTAACCGGTATAAATATACCGGTTTTATGAGAGAATATGTCTAAATAATGTATTGACACGTTGTTAGTTTGTGTCGATAATTTTTTCCAGAATGAAATATGAATGCCCAACCAGGTGCAAGCATAAAGTGTCGATACATTTACAATTGTATCGATCTAAAAAAACATCATAACCAATAATAATAATGTAATAGGTAAATTTACAATGTTACCGGTATAAATATACCGGTTTACTTCGAAAATAGGTCAATATAAGCGTTACCTATTACATTATATAAGAGCTACCTAATATGTTATTGTACTTGATAATATTTCTGATTAAATGTCTATTACATTATATAAGCGCTACCTATTACATTATATAAGCGCTACCTAATATGTTATTGTACTTGATAATATTTCCGGTTAAATGATTTAACATTACCGGTCAAAATTTTAACCGGTCACTTGTTTAACCGGTCACGCCATTTTTAGTCGTTTTTTAACCATCGCACAGCAGAACTACCCGAAGTTTGAACCATTAAAGAGATATTTATAATAATAAAAAATAATAAATAAATAAATAAATAATCAATTTGTTATTTCATTGCTTGGATTAAAAGTCATCCTCAGACTCTTCCACCACCGACTTTTTCTTCTCCAAATTAAATTTGTGCTTTTGTTCTTAACTCAAATATTTAATATCACCAAATTATATCATCAAGTTTTTATTATTAGTCAATTAGATTATTATACTGAATCCTTTAACTAATTATTATGAAAGAAAATGATTCAAAATACATTCCTAAATCCAAAATTTGATTTTAATTTAAAAAATAAAGCTTGGACGTATGTTAACATAACATTTATTTTAAAATTACAGAAAAAGTTAACCTAAATGATTTAATTTTCAATAATAAAATTTGATGAAATAAAAATATTGTATATAAAAGTCGATATTAATTTTAATAACATAAAATATAAAAATTACTCTGATTATTTGGAGAGCTTACGACTTTGTTTCTTTTTTCTTCTTTTTCAATTGAAGCTTGATAAAGTTTAAATCAATTAGGAAGTTACATTAATATTTGAAAATCATTAAAATTTCAGAACAATTTTAGAATTACTATTTATTAAATATAAATAAATGTTTTTATAATAACCAAGGCAAAAAATATTAGATCAATTTCATAAATATTAGATATATGTGCTTCGAGAATGTCATAATTGAAGTCGTTGGGCCGACTGTGAGCTTAATTGAATGGGGATTGAGCCCAGTTAACCATAAAAAGGAAATTTTTTAATTATAGAAAGATATTGTAATTAACCCATTTTTAAAAGATGAGAGATTTTATATCTCATTTTATCTTCTTTTCTTCACTTTATTCATTCTCAGTTCTCTTGTTCATTCTCTTCATCTCCAAGTGTCATAGCTAAGGGTAAGTTCTTTGAGTTATTTTCTACTTCTTTTACGCTTCATTTTCGTCCATAATTCCTCCATCAACATTGTTTTAAGGATTTAGGCCTTGGGTTTCTTATTTTGCTAGAGAAAGTGTGAGTTTATCATCCAAACCCTAAAAAGAGTATTGAGTGGTTAAATGAGCTTCATTTCAGGATTCTAACATCAAGGTAGTGTATTTCTAATCCTTTGGAGTATTAAGATTTTCATAAGCATGAATAATTGTTAAGATTTGTGTATTTGAGTATTTTAGGGTATATGCTTGATTCATGATGAAATGGAATTTTAGATGTAAGACATGTGTTTTTATGCCACTTTATTACACCAAGTAACCTCCTAAAGCTTTAGCACATGATTAGGAACCAAACTAAGACATTTTATATGATTGTTTTGTGTTTCTTGAGCCTAAATAAGACATTTTTGGGTTCGAGTATTGACACTGGATGAATAGTATTGTCATGACTCGCGAAATTTTCAACATAAACAACCATTTTTTGTACATATACTCATAGGGGTATCGCTTCTTGACCCTAGGGTATCAATACTACAAGTAGAGCATCAATACTACCCATTTTAGATGGTTGGCCTCTTTAAGGCCCGTAAGAGTTAAGGATGATCCATAATGGTGGAACTTAGTATGTGGGAGACATAAATAGCCAAAGATGCCTAAAAACACTCGTATGAATAGTTTATAACTTAGATAACCATACTAAGTGTAATAAGTCAAAGTATCTTTAGTCAAGCACATATCAAATAATTAAGAACGAGGATCATTATAGAGAATGTACCAACAAGTGATACGATAAGTAAGTCAGATTCAGTAATAGTGAAAATTGTGTGCTTCGAGAATGTTAGTGAACAAAGAACATATAATGTATCCTTCCAATTCAAGGGGTTTTGGAGAAAATTACGATAAACGATATTAGATTTTCGCTACCAGTAAAGAACTCGAGTCAGGTATCGGGCTAGCTAGTGTTTCAAACTGCGAACAGAAAACACAGTAATCTTCGTAAAATCATGAAACATGTAAGTAACGAATGATTGAAATAGAGCCGCTTAATAAACTAGCAGAAGTACCAGACTAATAAACACTTGCAAAACGTTCTAGGTAAGATAACAAACGATATAACATTTAGTGAGAGGGTGACCTCACTTTAGTGTGTCTAAATATGCTAGAGTGTAATTAGGCTACCTTAGTTTTTCTAGTGAGGCATTTGTCAGTGTTATGTAGCCTTAGGGCCCTTAGTTATGCATGTATAGTTGCATCAATCTAGTACAATAGAGATCCTTAAAGCTTGGCTTGATGGCTTTGTGAGATTGAGCCAATGCTTTAGTTGAGTGGGAATTGTATCGATGTTATGTGACATTGGGTTCCCTTTCCATGTTCTACTTGATAGTTATGTGAGACCAGGGAATCATTCAATAACTTAATGGAAATTTCAATGATGCTATATGACACCAGGTTCCCTAAGTTAGCTAGTGTCTGATGGCTATGTGAGACTAGATATTAGCAGTGTTGCATTCAGATAATGCACAACAAAGTCAATGTTACATTCAAATAATGCACGTGAGTGTTAATGTCACATTTAGATAGTGTAAAGCAGTTATAGTAAGTGTGATTAGAGACCCAATAGAGGTGTACTCATGGTGGGGCCCTTAATAAAAGATTAAGGGAAACATGAGACTCCTACTTTGGTGATAAAATAGCTAAACCTTGAGTAGGTAGTACTCGATTAAGATCATGTGTGTACCTACTGCTTAGTGATCATACTACTAGGCTTTGTAAGCTCAACGTTCGGATTTTTTCGTTCGTAAGTTATTAGCTTTAGTAGTTCGTGGAACATCGTTGCAACATGACTTCCAATATCTTCTTCAAAGTATTGTACTGTAACTTTAGTGGACATATGTATTAATAGGACTCTTATTATTGTATTCGGATTTATAACTCAATTTGTATTATTTTGGTTTTAAACTATGTGTCACGGAGCTCCGATTTATAAAAGTATTTTTATAACTGTTATTTATGTCTATTATGATATCATTCAATATATTTAAAATGAAAACGAACATGTTTTGAAAATCAGAGCTTCCAAGCCGCTGCGTGAGTGTTTTTTTTAATTTGGTTTGGTAAATTACCACTCTTCATCCTTGCCGAAAAGAAAACAAAGATGTATCCAATTATGCTGTTAATTATGATTATTTCCCACAGTAAATATTGATCACTATACTAGGATTGATTAATCTCTTCTATAAAAAAATAATATATTTAATCTTTATAATTTATTTTTTAAAATAACTCTTTAATCAAATTAGATTTTTTTAAAATAATATATTAACTATACTCCTACTCCTATATATATATATATATATATATATATATATGGAATATTATATGAACTTATTTTATGGCGTAGGGCTTTATAGAAAGAGGAAGACAAGGAGTTTGATTGATTTTGTCGGCCAAATTTGGATTTATCTTTAAGTAAGATCAACGTGGCGGCCGTTCCCTGACGACAGATTTGCAGCCAAGTGGGAAACTAATGCTTCTTGCTTCTCCATTCCCCTCTCTTTATCGACTACTATATTATAAACATTGAGAATATATAGCTTTTTGAAGCAAAGACTCGTCTTGCATTTAACCTAGCTTCAACAATCTCTTGTTTTTTGGTTATGGCTTTTAATCTCTAAAAACAAGAGAAAACTGGAAAAATCCATAAAAAGGTTTTGTTTTTGTCTCTTTTAGTTTTAGTTTAGTTTATATTTTAGGGTATTTCAATGGGAGGTGATTGTTGTTCGAGTTCAAGTTCAACGAGCGGAGAGAAGCAAAAGGTGCACGGCGCCCGGCAACAGCAACAGAAACAGCAGAAGGAGAAACCATTCAGAGGGATAAGGATGAGGAAGTGGGGGAAATGGGTGGCTGAAATCCGAGAGCCGAACAAGCGGTCCAGGATTTGGTTGGGTTCTTACACCACGCCGATAGCCGCCGCTCGTGCCTACGACACCGCCGTCTTCTACTTGCGTGGACCTTCAGCTAGGCTCAACTTCCCCGACCTTTTATTACAAGACGACGATCAACTTAGGGACATGTCTCCCGCTTCCATACGCAAGAAAGCCACCGAGGTCGGCGCCAAAGTTGACGCTATACAAACCGGCTCACTTCATCATCATCATCGTCATGCTTCTACTTCATCGGAATCATCGAACCCCGGTCGAGTCTTCTCGAAGCCTGATTTGAACAAGTACCCAGATTCCTCCGGTGAAGATTGAATTGATATAAAACAAACCAAAAAAAAAATCAAAATCAAACTGTTCATAAACATCAGGACGTTGTTTTTTCTGCCTTTTTTATTCTCTCATGGATTAATAGTTAGTGCTTAGAGAATAGAATAAATATAGAAAAAAATGGGTTGATTCTGTTTGATAAGGTTAAGTTTTTTTTTTTTTGGATTGTAACTTGTAATATGGATAATCTAATGGGCTACTAGCTTAGCTATTAACTCGTTTTGCTGAGTTCAGGGATATATATATATATATATATATATGAGATGTTCATCCTTAAAAATTTTTAATTATTATATATTTTAGATTATTTTTATGTATTTTTTGTTTAAAATTTTTTTTCTTTTCAAATTTTTTAATTTTACAAGTTTGAGTTAATTTCCGCTTAAATTTTTTAAATTTAAATATACCTTTTAATAGAAGATCTTGCTTCCGTCTTTAGTTAAGTTAGTGATGGCTGAGTTAATGATTATAAAGTATTGAATTATTTGTTATAGGTTATTCGAATGGAAACAAAAAAGATAAGGAGATAAAAATGAAGTATGTATATACGTACGCATATAAAAACATAGCGAAATTAAAGAGGTGGTGGTGGTCCTGAGGTTATCACCGTCATGAATGGTGGTTGCTTGCGAAAGGGTTTGTTTGTTTGGTGGAAGTTGACAGGTGATTAAAGGCGGACGTTGAGTAAGTGAGGTGAGGCTCTGGGGTTTTCTTTTCTTTTTCTTTTAAGGGATTATTGAGATTTTTGGAAGAGAATATCTTTCTATACTAAAAAAAGATTATCTTTCAATGAGACTGTGAGAATATAATAAGAGAAATTTGCATAGAGAAAAAATTAATGGACTTTGAGGATTGTAACAAGCAATTAATAATGAAGAAAACTAAAGATCAATTTGGGTTGTAAAACTTGACTTTGTAACCTATTTATCGAAGCTTTGTTTTATGAGGAATTTTTTTGTCTGATTTTCTTCAACACAGTTTCATCAACTTGTGCTTCCTTTTTTTTTGGTGGGGGGATTCACTGAGTCGTATCCATGTATTATATGTGAGAAAGTGATAAAAAAAATGGTCGGGTTTGATGACATGATAATGCATTGATTGCTCAACTGTGGTTCATTATTTCTGATATAAATGAAAGATTTATTTCGAGAGCCTCATTCAAAAAAAAGTAATTAATAATTTTATGTCGAAGCGTCAGGAAGAGGAAACTAGGCGAGATTATATCGGAGTGACTGGAAGAATTCCGAGCGTTCAGGCAGGAGATATGGTCCTCAGGATAGTCGCAGGAGTGGGTTTTCAGTTTTTGTTGATAACATAAGCAAGAGAATCCATCATAAATTCTTAAAGGAAGCATTCCAAACTTATGGGGAAATATTGGATGTCTTTATAGCTTACAATAATCTGAAGAGGAAGTTAAAGAATACCACTTTCGCTTTTATCAGGTTTAAAAGCTTCCCTGATGCAAAAAGAGAGATAGAAAGTGGAACGGAAGAGTGATTGATGGGTGCTGTATCAGAGTGTTCCTCGCAAAGGAAACGAGCACTTCTCCAAAGGGTGCTCTTGACAGGGTGCGCAATGAGTGGAGGAAGGTGTCTACGCTGAGGGACTCTAGGTCATTTAGGGAAGTTCTGATTGGGAATGTCACCCAGAATCTGAGTGTGTATTGGATAGAATATAGCATGCACGAGCATGCAGCGTAGTTCAGCTTAGCGTTGCTTATCAGCTTATGTTAGTTTGCAGCATAACAGCTTTCTGTTACAGCTGTTAAACGGTTACCATTTCATGTATATAAAGAACAACTGTATAGCTTGTATTCATTAAAAATCAATATCCAGTTTTACATCTATTGAGTTTTTCATTATGGTATCATTCACTCAGTTGGTTCTGGGATGAGCTTCATTTCCTTTTTTGTTGCTTAATTCGTCTTGCAAGAATTCTGGATTCATCTTGCGAGAACAGGTGTCATGGCATTTGGCGGTTCTAGAAATATTCTTGGAGGTTTAGAAGCGTTAAGGCCTAGCAAGATGTTTACTAATAAACGCATAAACATCATGTTGATGAAATGAATTTTCTTCGATGGAAACAACAGGTCCTCTTAACAGTTCGAAGTCATCGACTTGAGAGACTGCTCACCGGTGATCTTAGCTCCCCACCTGAGAGAACACTTGATGCAGATGGCAATCTTGTACTCAATGAGGAGTATGATGTGTTCGTGGCGCAAGATAGTGCCTTGGCCTCATGGTTATTATCCACCATCAGTATCATCTACTTCCACAGTTCGTTGGGGCTGAAACTGTTACTGAGCTATGGGCTACAGTCCTTAAATTCTTTTCAAATCGGTCGACTACCAGCATAATGAGCTTGCATTATAAGTTATGATCCATCAAGAAAGGAGATGAGAGCATGCGGTCATATCTCACATCAATCAAAGAAGTGTGTGACGCTTTAGCAGCGTGTGGCAATGTTATCTGACATTGATCAGGTAGCTACAATTCTGAATGGACTTCCATTTGAATATCAGCCTTTTGTTGTTGTTATTACAACAAACAAGGATGCATTCACAGTGGATGGAGTACAGTCTATACTAATTGATGCAGAAGATCAGCTTAAAAGCTTTCAAGTTTAGTCTCAACCACTTCTTAGTGCCAATGTTGCACATGTTCAGACTAACAATCAAAGGAAATTCTCTAATAAATCTACTGATCAACAGTACACTGGGAATGAAAGAATGTCACAGCAGTACTCTCGTGGTCGAACAGGTACACGAGGTTGTGGAAGAGGTAGAGTGCAGTGTCAATTGTGTGGAAAGATAGGGCACACTGTGGATCGATGCTGGCATCGGTTTGATCAGTCATTTTCTGGAGTCTTGGTTGATAAACATGAGTCTTACAACACACAGGTAACTAGCTTTGAAAATGATTGCTACACCTATACCAATCATGGATGTACCCAGTACAGAACACATCTTCAGCACCTGCCAGCTCAGATAAATGGATTATAGACTCAGGTGCTACTCACCATATCACCCCAGACAGCTCCAAACTTAATAATGGATCTGACTATTCTGAACCAGGTAAGTTAGTTGTGGGAAATGGCTAGAGTCTAGATATATATAAGACTGGTTCATCTCTTATTCAAACCAGGTTTCGAGCGCTTTACATTAATAATCTTCTGCATGTTCCTGATGTAACTAAAAATCTTTTATATGTCTCTAAGTTTGCCAGAGAGAATGAAGTATTTTTTGAGTTTCATGCAAGTCACTGCCTGGTGAAGGATGAAAAGACTAGAGAAGTGTTGTTGCAAGGATGAGAGACTGCTAGTTTGTCTCAGTTTACTACTGATAATACATCCTGTTACAAGAAGTCAAGTTCAATAGTAGCCAATGTAGCCACTAGCATAAACAGGTATGACTTATGGCATCAAAGGTTTGGGCATCCTGCTCATGCATCATTGATGCAAGTTTGTAAACAAATTGGGGTCAATATTGCCTCAACATTTAATAAAGAATGTACAAATTTTTGTGTAGCCTGTCGAATAGGGAAAAGTTATAAAATGTCGTTTCATGAGTCAATCACTGTGTATGACAAACCATTTTATTTAGTATTTTCTGACTTATGGGGACCTTCACACATAATCCCGAATGGTTTCAGGTATTATGTGTCCTTTTTGGATGCGTGTACAAGGCATTACTGGATATATTTACTCAAAAACAAGGACCAAACCATGCAAGCATTTCAGTTGTTTCATGCCTTTGTGAAAACTCAATTTGAAACTGAGATAAGGGAGCTACAAACTGACTGGGGTAGAGAGTACAGGTCATTAACATCAATGCTGGCCAATATGGGAATCCACCATCGTTTGACATGCCCTCACACCTCGGAGCAAAACGGTGTGGTGGAGCGAAAGCATATACATGTTATTGAATCAACGTTAGTCTTAATGGCATAAGCCTCATTACCTTTAAAGTTCTGGTCATATGTTGTAAGTACAACTGTGTATCTTATAAACCGATTACCCACTAAGGTCTTGCATGGAAAGTCACCATTTGAAGCACTTTACAACAAGCAACCATATTACAATGATATACGTGTTTTTGGGTGCAGGTGCTTCCCACATCTTCGGATGTTTCAGCAACATAAACTGAACTTTAAGTCTCAACCGTGTACATTTCTTGGCTACAGTACCCATCACAAAGGATATCAATGTTTGGCACCAAGTGGGAAAATTTACATCTCGAGGCATGTGGTTTTTTATTAATCTTGTTTTCCCTTTGCAGGAAATAGTGGCAAGACATCCAACACGAGTCAGGTATCTCCTCGAAAGCTGTCAGTCATCAATGGTGCTCATAGAGTGTGTGCTCGAGCAGATGATTGCATAAACTTAGGATAGAATTCACAGGTTAATGCTCAACTACCTGAAGGCAGCTCAGTTCAAGGTTCTGAGTCTAGACTGATGAACCAGTCTGCTGAAGCTAAAGATACTGGTTCTGTTCAGCATAATATAGCTGACAATGATGTCGAAGGGGCTGAAACTGAGCAACATGTAAATACACAGCCAGACTTAGAAGCTGCTCCAAGCTCTAATGGAGTACAAGGGCATCATATGATAACTAGAAGCAAGAGAGAGATCTTCAAACCCAAAGTGTACATGAGTGTGCAAGATGAAGAAGAAGAAGAACCATATTTGATTCATGCTGCACTTAAGTCTGTTAAGCGGAAGACTGCTATTCAAGAAGAATATGATGCCTTGGTCAGAAACAACACATGAACACTGGTAAGACTACCAAAGGGCAGATTCCCAGTTAGATGCAAATTGCTGTTTAAAATAAAAAAAATGATAATGGCACACTACAAAGGTACAAAGCCAGATTAGTGGCTAAAGGTTTTTCTCAAATCCTTGGCCAAGATTTTCAGGATACTTTCAGTCCAGTAGCTAAATCCTCCACAATCAATGTGGTACTTGTTGTAGTTGTTCAAAAGAAGTGGTGCTTGAGACAAGTATACATAAACAATGCATTTTTAAATGGAGATTTGCAGGAAGAAGTATATATGCAACAACCTGAAGGGTTTGAAGAGGTTGGTTTAGATGAAACTCCCTTAGTGTGCAAGTTAAATAGAGCTTTGTATGGACTAAGGCAAGCCACTCGAA